ATTTAGTTGTAAGATTGTTGGATATTTAAAAGTAAAATGTGTAAGTTCAACTTATTTAAGTCGTTCAAGGCTGGCGGAATGTTGGCTTCACTGCTCTCTTTGCTTTAAACTATTCGCTTACATCAGATGTGTATAATAACAAATAGTCAATACTAAAAGCCGGTTGTTCAATTTCTGATTAGCACTAATCAGAGGTAGAAGCTCCGGTTAAATACAACGACTGCTTTATCAATCACATGTTATATGCATGATGACGAAAACGTCGATAATGATGTTTAACCTGCAAGTAGTGATAACCAGACATTGAACAACCGGCCCTAAGTTGTGCTGGAACCTGTGAATTTTTACTGGAAAAGTGTATAATAACCCAAAAAATTTGCAAGAGGGCATTGAATCGAGAGCGAAATAACACGGGAGAGCTGCAAATTCTTGCTGGTGAAATTTTTACTGGCAGAAATTAGCTATCAGAAGAAGAAGAAGAATGAATATCAGGAGCTGCCATTTGTTGAATTGGTTAAGCGTAAACAAAAGTAAAATGAGTTGAAATAAAAATATTAATGATGTCTGGACTGTGTAAGTGCTTGCGTGTAAAGCAAAGAGTTTAAAACTGATTTATAAATCGTAAAATGTTTACAGCAGAATGTCAAAACAGTACAACAACTGTTCCCTTGCAAGTTTTTGATAGCTTTGTGTTCAATAACTTTTTCTGCTAGTTTTCTCTTCGCAATTTCACGCTCTATTTTTCTTTTCCGTACTCGCTGGAATTTTTTACTGGAGAAGTTGCTGAATAAGTTACTCTCTCACGAGTGTCAAAAATGTGTCAACATGTACCAAAAGTGCCCAGAGCGTGAGGAACGCAAAAAACCACATTTCCTGCCCAGAATCAATAAATCAGCTTTAAACAATGATTTTATGTGTATTTATCTTATATGGCTAAAAACATTAGCAAATACCTAACATTTCTGAAACTTTAGTGCTATTTTCCATTATTGTATTTTAGAGCTTAAAC